AATTTTCCGTACCTGATGGTAGTGTCAAAATCAGTGCAGTGGTCAATCTTGTTTTCAATTCCTGAAAGGCTGATCCTCTTTCATCATTCCACTCAAAAGGTTGCCCCTTGCGTGTCAATTAGGTAAGAGGCACATCTATTTTTGAAAAATCTTTCACAAACCTCCTGTAGTACCCAGCTAAACCCATAAAACTGAGGACTTCTGTTACATTGGTCAGTGTAGGCCAATTCACAATTGCCTCTATTTTCTGTAGGTCTACTGAAATCCCTTCCTTGTTGATCACATATCCTAAGAAAACAACTTCATCCAACCAAAACTCACATTTCTTTAGTTTAGCAAACAATTTCCTTTCCCTAAGTATTTGCAGGACAGTTCTCAAATGTTGTTCATGTTCAAGTCTATCTTTATAGTATATCAAAATGTCATCAATAAAAACCACAACAAATTCGTCGAGGTAGGTTTTAAAAATTCAGTTCATTAGGTCCGTAAATGCTGCCGGAGCATTAGTCACTCCAAATGACATAACAAGAAACTCAAAATGTCCAAACCTCGTTCTGAATGCGGTTTTCTCAACATCTTCCGCCTTTACCTTCAACTGATGATACCCGGATCTCAAATCAATCTTGGAAAACACTTGTGATCCCTGCAACTGGTCAAACAGGTCATCAATACGGGGTAAGGGATATTTATTCTTTATTGTTACCTTGTTCAATTCCTGATAGTCGATACACAAGCATAGGGTTCCATCTTTCTTTTTCACAAACAACACCAGTACACCCCATGGTGAAGTGCTAGGTCTGATAAATCCTTTGTCAAGCAGGTCTTGTAACTGTTCTTTTGATTCTTTCATTTCAGCTGTAGCCATTATGTAGGGAGTTTTAGAAATAGATTGGGTGCCTGATACAGTTTCAATAGTGAATTCTATCTCCCTGTCCACCAATTCCCCTGGTAGTTTATTTGGAAACACATCTGGAAATTCTCTAACAATAGGGATATCATTCAATTCAGCATTTACAGATTGTTCAGATAACACATAGCACAAATAACCCTGACACCCTTTCCTGATCAATTTACATGCTTTCATTGTAGATATCAAATAAGGTGGAGGCACTACTCCGTTACCCACAAACACAATTTCTTCTTGTTCTGGTGGTCTAAACACAAACCGTTTTGTCACACAGTCAATGGTGGCACAATATTTAGTTAACCAGTCTATGCCCAAAATTATGTCAAAGTGCCTAAAGTTCAAGGGTAACAAGTCCACATATAGAATGGAATTTCCAATTCGCATGTCACAAAAACGATAGACAGATTCACACAATACCGATTCCCCAGATGGAGCAGACACACATAGTAGATATGGCAATAATTCTAGAGGTTTACTCAGTCTAGATGCAAATGCACATGTTACAAATGAGTGTGTTGATCCAGAGTCAATTAATACAAAAGCATCCTAATTACATATAGAAATGATACCTGAGACAACTGCGTTGGCATTCTGGGTATCGCCCGGAACAAGCGCAAAAACTCTCCCTTGTCTCACGGCATCTCCGGCGGGAGTAGATCTCATAACATTTCCTGGTTTTGGGACTGATGTTGTCAAACTAGCAGCAAATTTTCCACTGTTTTGTTTGCAATCTCTGGCCATATGTCCCTGTTTACCACAATTAAAACAAGCTCCTGACACACGGTAACAAACCCCACGATGCCTGTTACCACAAGTAGTACACGACGGGGTTATATCTCGGGAAGAATTAGAAGTATTCAAGGAGCCCTTATTTTGCTTCTTTGAAAACTTCTTCTTTGAAAAGAAACCCTTCATTTTACTACCTTTCCAGTCAGTTGTCGGTTTAATTTGTCTAGCTATATTAGCTTATGATATTATGGCCTTGTCTAGTACCCTAATATAGGTTTCCAGCTTCAAGACATTCACCCTCTCTAGAATGTCGCTTCGAAGCCCGCCTTCAAAATGTCTCGCCTTCTTATAGTCTGTATCAATCACGTGTGGCGCAAACCTGGCCAATTCAGTGAATTTGGCCTCATACTCGGCTACAGTCATACTGTCTTGCCTCAATTCCATGAATTCTGCCACCTTCCTATCCTGGACACACTGCGGGAAGTACTTGTCATAGAAAATTTCCAGAAATTTTGCCCAATCAGCATCTTTGTAATTCTCACGCATTAACATCCACCATCTTCTTGCTTTGTCTTCTAGCATAAAGGTGGCTAGAAGCACTTTCTGTGTCTCCGAACACGGGAACACTTCAAATAGTTTTTCGATGCCGAGGACCCAAGCTTCAGCTTTCAAAGGATCTAATCCACCATGGAATTGTGGTGGTTTTATTTTCTTGAACTCTTTGGTGAGAGCTATGATTCGGTCATCATTCTGATTATCTGGCACAGGAGGTGCCGGAGATGGAGGTGGAGGATGTGGTTGCTGCCACTATTGTTGCCATTCCTATTGTTGCCTCAATGTCTCTGCCATTTCCTGAATCAGTCTTTCCATTCTATCCAGTCTGGCAGTAGAAGATTCCTCTATCTCATCACCTCTTGTTCTCACCATCTGATTAAACTTGCATTATACTTTATACAAAAGATACACAGGTATGCATATACTAAAGAGCATACATAATCAAATAATTTGAAATGCAAGCAGTTCACAAACTTATAACACATAGTTGTTCACATTTAACAGTTAAGCGTATTCTTGATGCTTTCAGATTCATACTTATAACATGAATGCATCCTAGATCTTTTCTAGACGCTTATTGCTCTTTTGGACAAGTGTGTGAGTTATTAACTCGTGCTCTGATACCACTTTGTCACGACCCGAACACGCCCCTATGGGTTAAGACCATAACCGGCCAGTAATCACGAGATTACCTATGGCCTCAAACCAAATAAACAAAACTCATCAGAGTAAAGGGGCCAAACGGAAGCAAATTTAAAACTTTGTACATAGAGTTGTGCTTATATGCACACCATAACATTCTAAACATTTATATGTTAATAACTCACATCAAAATATGTACTAACACAGAGCACTGTACATACAGGATCATACAAGTTTAAGTCAGTCGAATCCAAGACTTATATACAAAAGTAGTTCAATGCTTTCGTCCACATAACAAAACTATGAACAAAGGACAAAGGCGAAGATAGTCTCGTGCGTGAGACGTTAGGGCTGACTCCTCAAAACTTTGACTGTTTCTCACAATTCCATCGAGGCTGGTTTTGGACGTCCCTTAGCTCACCTACATGTACATGAATAAGCGTGAGTGAAAGCCTAATGAATAATATCGAATAAAGAAGATACATAAGCAATCTTTGAAACAGTTACAGCAGACGGCCTTTGGCCAAATCACTTGTATCAATCGGCCTTTGGCCCAATCATTTATGTCAATCGGCCTTCGGCCCAATCATCTATGTCAATCGGCCTTCAGCCCAATCATTCATGTCAGTCGGCCTTCGGCCCAATCATTCATGTCAATCGACCTTCGGCCTAATCATTTATGTCAATCGGCCTTCGGCCCAATCATCTTTGTCAATCAGCCTTCGGCCCAATCATTTATGTCAATTGGCCTTCGGCCTAATCATTTATGTTATTCGGCCTTCGGCCCAATCATTCATGTTAATCGTTGTCCGCCATTCAAATTAATGAACTTACAAAACTTACATAGAAGTAAACAATTGGACAACAACATATTTCGAATATCTTGTTAAGATATTACTCACAGTGATCGGCTTGTGAATTTGCTCTGGAGCTTGACCCTACACATCATATAGCACATATGAGTCACAAACGATTCAATCCATTCTTTAATTCACGTATTCCTCTTTAGGTTTCATTCTTATCTCTTTAACTCAATTACAATGCTCAATATATGCCTAAGAGTACTTAGAAGTGAAAGAAAACAGAAAACGAAACACAGAAGCCCTTTTCAAAATTTCAGAAAACAGGATCCCCGCTTGAGCATGAACTTCTCCGCTCGAGCGGACCCATGAGGTCTGTAAAAGTACTGGTTACATCAATTTCACGCTCGAGCGCAAACCCGGCCGCTCGAGCTGAAGATCTGTCTACATAGCTCCCCACTCGAGCGTGAACTTCCCCGCTCGAGCGGACGCCATATCTGCAAAATATGCTGGGAGCTCGTATTTCACGCTCGAGCGGCGGTTTCCCCGCTCGAGCGGACATCAAGAATTCTGGATTTTCCAGAATTTGTCCTTAAGCTCAATTCCACCTCCAAAGGTTCCAAACTCATAATTTTGGCTCAAACTTCATATATACATGTACTAACTTGGTACAAACACCAAATTACAACATTATGAAGCTCAATTCCATGAATTACTTACATGCATGCTCCAATTTACACCAAACTTGTTTCTATTACAACAATTCCATGTATTTCAAACTCACTTTCTCATGAATTGTACATGCATGTGGAATACAACTCTTATTCCCAACTTAGATGATGAAGAGATGGTCAAAAGTGTGATCTTTAATTAAAATCTCACATGGATTATATATTTGTACTCAAACATGCAAATTTCAAAGCAATTACACACATGCATGCATACATTGACCTTTAATTCAACATTATCAACTCAATTTCATTTCAATTCTTACTCTTGATCATTAATCAACTTGAATACACCAAATTATACATTAACTCATGAATTCAAAATCAATTGCTTACCTAGAAGCCCAATCTTCTCAATCTATAGCAAATTCTTGAGTTTAATCCTCCAATCTTCACAAACTTGAGCCAAACACCCAACTCTCCTTCTTCCTCTCTCTAGCCGACCCCTTTCCCTTTTCTTAGAGTTTATAATCAGCCAAATGAAGCGAAGGAGAGAAATTGAGTGTATAAAGGGAACATGTACTTTTTGATATCTGATCAATTTAATTTTTTATATATATTCAACAAATCTTAAAATATAACGATTCAAATCATTAAAATTAAATCAAAAAATGAACCCAATAACTCTGCAATAACTCAGCAAGTAGGAAGCGAATGAGAGAACTCGACGAGGGGGATCTTGATTCCACCTTTTAGAGGCCAACTTACCTATACTTGGAAAGCTGGTGTGTAGACTTGACTCACTGCCTCTTTCTTCCCCACGCCTTTGCCCTCCTTCCACGATCTCTTTCGCAACGTCATCACACCGTCGCACGATCTCTCTCTCTCTCTCTCTCTCTTCTCTACTATTGAAGATCGAACATGGAGGCTTCTCAATCTCTGCTCCAACGATATCGCAGCGATCGTCGTCAGCTCCTGAGTTTCATACTCTCATCAGGTTTGATAAAGGAGCTCCGGTCCCCTACTGGTGCCACCTCCTCTGTCTCCGACTCTGATCTTGAACTTCTCAGCGCCGATTACGTCCTCCAATGCGCACAATCCGGTTAGTTTCACCCCTGTTTGGTTGCCGAGAAACTGTAGGAAAAAGAAAAAGAAAAAAAAAAAGAAGTGAACTAAAAAGAGTTAACACAGTACTCTGTTTGGCTGCGAAGAAATCAAAGAATTCATAGCTAAATTAAACTAATACAACTATTTGGCTGAGTGTGTTTGTGTCTTTTAAACCATTTGGTTCTCTTTTTTTCCTTTTTCCTCTGTTTTCTCAACAACGAAAGGGGGGGATTTTAGGGTTAGGGCTATATTAGGACCGTAGGAGAAAGATTCTAGTCTTTTTAAATGGAAATGGATAATAGCTAATTTGTCGCTTTAAAGTGTAAAATCAGACGCCCAAAGTTATTATGGTTAATTGGCACTCAATAGGCTAAGGTCTCGGAATTAAGAGGTGGTGTTTAGGGGCTGCAAATAGTGCCCTGAGAAAAATAAACTGTTGGTTTAGTGGCAGAAAGAAGAACCATTTGTATATTCGGTCTAGAATTCCTTGGAAATTACTCGAGTCTCTGTAATTCATCGCACAGTTTCAAACACAAATTCTCTGAATCCAAATAATCTATTGACTAGAATTATTACATAGATACTTATAGGTTGCTGGACCTTTTCTAATTTTTCTAGGATTAATACATGAAAACTATAAAATTTTGACCATTCAAACATTTTGAACCTAAATAAAATCACATGCAATGATTCAATAACATTCTTGACACATGAGATCCATAGGCTTCATCTAGAGCCGTTATCCAAGTTCTTTTTTTCAAAACATATTTGCCTTAGATTACTTTACTAAAACCTAATAACAAAAGGAAGCTATCTAGCTGCATACGAACCTATAAATTTCATAAAATGAAGACTCAACTTAACGCTAAACTCCACTAGAAGGTTCCCTACATATGCTCCATGTAATTCTTTGTTTTGTTGGAATCCATGTGAAATTTCAGATTTACCCTTTTCTTCCTTCTATGGTGTTCTGTTCTTAGAAGAAAAAAAAAATTGTTAAGAAAATTCATGCCATTACCTCTATATTGTTTACTCCAAAGTGCATAATTTAGTTGTTCAGAGGAAAGCGAATTCGGAAATCTTTTGATTGGAATGGGATAGGGTTGTGACTGATGGTGGTGCTCTTAATTGTTGAAATCTCTTGCTTCATCTTCTTTGTTATGTAGGATCCGAGTCTTGTCTTTGTTCGCCGTGGAACCTCTAGAACAAATTCAAGACAAGGCACTCTGAGAAGAAGTGACTCCATGTGGCACACAAATTAGTATGTTGAATGTGAACATATATATGTATATATATATTTTGTGTTGTAATTTTTTATTTTGAAAACCACTTTGCTCTTAGTTGATCGTTTTAATTTTGAAAATCTTGTTGTGCATATTTTTTATTTGTCTCTGTTTTGTGCAACAGTTAACCTGTGGTAGCCAAATTGTTGCTTTGAGATGTTCTACCTCTTGTTTACATAAAAGTGTAGCAGCTCAAGGTAAAACTAAAATACTATTCTGATCCAAAAGGAAAGCAGAATAAAACACTGATGCAAATTCCAAGAAAACATTGATTCAATTCTGTAGTGTTGATGCTTGTTTAGTGTTTTATTTGCATCTCATTTTCTAATTGCAGGTTTTTGTATTTTTAGCTGCTGAGTATGAAACTCCAAAGAACTCCCTGAATCAGGTCAGCTTTTTAGCATTTGGTGGCATGCATTATTTCATCATGAGTTCATTTCAATTTGGCATTGGATATTATTCTTAACCTCAAGCTTCATTTCAAATTTCATGAGATTATGGAGCTAGTCAGTTTTTGTCCGATGTCCCTTGCTGGATAGGTGCAGTCGGATCATTGTCCAGATCATCCTTAGACTCCATAATAAGTACTATGATGTTTCTCGATTCTTGAAATTTTTTCCCTTTACTCTATGTTTCAGATATTGGCATACATGATGATAAATTTAACCTTTTGGCTTAAGAAATTTTGCTCCTTAGCTTCTACATATTTACTCTGAACATGATAGACAATGTTTAAAAAATTTGAATGTCTTTATTATTATGGCTAATATATGTAACATAGTGATAAAAAGCCAAGTGTGGTTGATGCCTCTTGAGGTTATTTGGACTTAAGTCTTTGTATTATAATTTTTTAAGCTTGTATTGCCAGGGAAAAAAGAGAAACCTAAATCGGCCACCAGTTATGCTTCTTGAACTGTTTCTTTAGGTTAGACCTAGAGATGTTATAAAAAGTATGGACAAAGCCTTTCACACAAATATTATATTGAACTTCTAGAGAGAGAGAAAAGTAGGCTCTGTTTGGAACGATTCTCAAATTCGTTTCCTACCATTGAGTTCGCATATGGTGTTTGGATAGAGTTGTAGAATTAATTTTCTACAACTCTACAGAAAACTCTGTCAAACAGAGCGCGATTTTCAATTTTTTTTTCGAAATTTGGCCTAACCGGTTGTCCAGTCGGTTGACCGGAACAGTGAATTTTTTTTGCAATTGATATGTTAATTTTTATATATTCGAAAAAAATATTTCTGAATTTTTAAAATTTTTTTATGTGCTTTAAAATAATTTTGAGTTGTATGCTTGGTTATGAATTGTAAATTTTTGTATCAAATATCAAATGTCTCGTCAACAATTCTTCACTCAAACCAAACAAATTTTCTACAATCATAATTCCAAACCTCACAAACTCAAAATATAACTCAATACTCTTAAATCATAATTACAAAGCTCTACCAAACGCAACCGTAGTCTTTCATGAACTTGCTAGGTATAAGAAGCTATAGGTAGAACACACATTATACAAATGCTAAAAATGTCACAAACCTGAATAGATATTATTTGAAAACAGTATGACGCCAAAAACTAAGTGCAAAAGGCATCAAGATGGCATTTTTAAATTTTGACTGAAGTTCAATATCCATACAATTCCAATATTAATAACTTACACGACAAGTTTGGAGACTCCATGCATGGGTCATCTCCCATGTTTATCATGTTGGAATAATTTTCTGTGTAAAATAAAATAAATAATTTGAAACCAAATCAAACAAATAAAAATAAACTATTTACATAATTTATTTACCAAAGTGAATTACTGCAAAAATGATCAAGTCGAGTGTGTAACACTCTATCCTTAAGACATATTCGCTCTGCTTTGGTGCTTACGGATAAATGGCTTCTCCCAGGATACAATGATCTTTACACAGATTGTAGTAGTACTCCAAACAATCTGTACGGTGAACTAGAACTTGTGTTCTATACTCTCAGAATTTTCTCTAAAAACCTGGTATGAAGAATAATGAAAAGAGAGCAAAAACGGAAAGAGAATTAATTTTCTGGATGTCAAAATATGCTGGAATGATTATGAATTTATAGGCATAGAAGGTGATTGTGGGGAAGAGCCGAGCAGGTACAATTTGAATTAAACAGATACAGATTCAAATCTGTAGAGCCAAACAGGTGCATATTTGAAATGAATAGGTGCAAAAATTCAAATTTGTTTGAATCTATTTGGAAGAAACTGAATCTGTGCAATCTATTAAAACAGGTTGAAAAATCTGTTTGAACTTGCTGGAAATTGGATCGGGGGAGGCACTGTTTGGACAGAAAATTGAATTCAAATTTGGCGCAAAATTTGAATTAATTTCATTCAGAAAAAATAATTTTCCTATTAAGAATTTTTGAAAAAAATTCAAATAAACTTTGTCTAAAAAATTAATGTAAGGACCCAACCCATAACCCGGACCCGGCTCGACTCGGCTAAGGACCCAACCCATAACCCGGACCCGGCTCGACTCGGCTCGGCTTGGACTGCCAACGCCGTCGGCACGCGTGCACGCTTGTGTGATGGTTTAAGCCAAGGCTCACTTTGTCCATAATTCCTCCCTTTTACAAACTTGAGGTGTTCTTTGGGGCCCAACCAAAGTTTGTCCACCTAGAGTTTATAAACACATACAAACTTTCTTAAAGTTTCAAATGTGGAACAATCATTTTAATGAAACCCACATTTTACTCTTTAATTGTCTATTTCACGAACTCGAAAACGACGTTAACTTTCCATTAACTCATAGATGGTTTTGACGAATCGTTTGCACCATGTGACTTGCCATATGGCAAGGAACACGTCACCTCATTAGACCCATTCCAAAAGACGTGTGGGACCCACTCAAATTTGGAGTCAAAGTTGGTCCAAAATAAGTCTATAAAAAATCATAATTTCCAACAATCCCTCACATGAATGGAATTTGATGGAAAAAAAATGCAACATGATCTGATTACAGAGAGTACATAAATTTGAAATATTCTATAAAGGATATGTAGCTTTTGGCTTTGAACCTTCCATTGTGAGACACTATCAGATTTACTAGTTAACCAATGAGTATAATGTCTTGAACTGTTCAGTCATTTGTGTAAATCAAGACAATAGAACTCACGCAGTATATTTATCAGACACAGTTTAGTTCTCACTATAATGTTCATTTTGACCCTGAACAACCTGGCCTTTCATGAGTGCTTTAGAGAATTATACCCCTTCACAAATCTCATAGAACCGGCCAAGTTCACACTCATATAGGTGATTCTTATGAAGAATATCCCGCCAAACTCCACTAGGTGTTCCTAGAAATAAGAATCATTAAAAGTATTACTTAACTTAAAACGTTGCAGACATCACTATTTCATCATAGAAATTGGTAGAAGTTTGACTCCGTAGTGATCCTTATGAGTTTTAGGTTGTCCCTTTGAACCTAGAACTTGGGATCTCAAGTCAACTAGGTTCGGTTGCCGTTGTGGTAACTATTATTTAATAGGCTCCATTTCCCTCGATGAATTCTCAATTAACTCTCTTGTTAATCATTTGGTTAGTGGATCCGCTATGTTGTCTTTAGATTTCACATATTCAATGGAAATAATTTCATTAGAGAGTAGTTGTCTTACGGTATTATGTCGACGATGAATGTAACGTGACTTACCGTTATACATATGACTTTGTGCTCTACCAATTGCTGATTGACTATCACAATGTATGCATATTGCAGGCATCGATTTTGGTCATATTGGAATATCTTCAAAAAAGTGACGAAGCCATTCTGCTTCTTTCCCAGCTTTATCTAAAGCTATAAATTCTGATTCCATAGTAGATCTAGCAATGCAAGTCAGTTTGGAAGATTTCCAAGATACAACTACCCTACCATATCCACTGGTGGATTTTGAGTTTTTGGTATCCGATATTCAGTTTGCATCACAGTATCCTTCAAGTACTGCTGGATATGTAGTATAATTTAGTACAATATTACGAGTAAATCTAAGGTATCTTAGAACCCATATAATAGCTTTCCAGTATTCTACTCTTGGATTACTCGTATATCTATTTAATTTACTTACTGCATAGGCTATATCTGAGCGAGTGTAGTTCATCAAGTACGTTAAACTTACAATAATTTGGGCATACTTTAATTGAGAAATACTTTTATGTACATTCTTAGAAAGAAACAAATTAACATTCATAGGTGTTCTAGCAAGATGATCATCATCTTTGCTGAATTTGTTAAATATTTTGTCAATGTAATGTGATTGTGACAAAGCATATCCTTCTGATGTTTTGATAATTTTCATACCAAGTATTACATTAGCAATCCCCATATCTTTCATGTCAAAATGTTTGTTCAACATTTTCTTGATAGTTTTAATCATGTCATTATTACTGCCTATGATGAGCAAATCATCCACATAAAAACATACTATAACATAACTTTTGTCTATATTTTTAATATAAACACATCTGTCATATTCATTAATTTTAAATCCATTTGACATCATTGCCTTGTCAAATTTTTCACGCCATTGCTTTGGCACTTGTTTTAAACCATATAATGATTTAACCAATTTACATACTTTCTTTTTTTTTCTTGGAATAGAAAATCCTTTTGTTGTTCCATGTAAATTTCTTCATTTAACTCATCATTTAAGAAAACTATTTTCACATCTATTTAATGATTTCTAGATTGTTCAAAGATACAATGACAATTAGCATTCTAATGGATTTTATTCTAGTAACCTGTGAGTATTTGTCAAAGTAATCAAGCTGAGTGCTTGATTGGCAGTGTGGTCGGAAATTGACACACACAATTTGGCGCCGTCTATGGGAGAGAAAGGAGAATATATGGCCAACGATAGACAGAAAGAGAAGGGTGGGGATGACACCCATACTAAGAGTGGGAAACATATTGACCTTGATGTCGAAGAATACAATTGCAACGAAGAGACTCGTGATAAGAATCACGGAGGAAAGGATGTTGGGCAGGAGGGCGGCGTACCGAAGAAATCGGATCGGAGTGGGTATTATAAAGAGGACGACTTCTAGGTATAGAAAGATAGATGCTTGTGGAGGGACGACGAGATGAACGGAATGGCAGACAAATTGGCGGACCTACAAACGGTCGTCAATTTCATGATGCAGAACGTCATGCAGCCACCGTTCTCGCTACAAGATACGCTGATTCCAGCGGCCAAAAAAGGTGCCCAGAAAGGGGGGCAGAAAACGATTCCTGCAGTCCTTCAGCATGACAGGACCAAGGGACATTCTCATCGGCCTTCGCAGGAGGTCGGACATGGAGAATCCCAGAAGACACGTCGAACAAAAGAAACATGCACCAAAGAACATCGGGATCTTCAGGAGAAGGAACTCTGTTTCGACACGACCAATGGAGGGAGGTCCAAAAGGACTCACAATGACACTGGAAGTAATGCACCAAAGAGGTCGAAATTTGGAGATAGCTGAGCTCCTGAATGAACCAATGGGGATCTGAGGGATTACCTCTAGAGAAAGCGACAAGATGCCGAGGTGACCTCTCCGGTCAAGCCGAGGACACTGTTCTCAGTAGAGTTGGACAAATCTGAGGCCCCGAAAAGGTTCCACATGCCGAGATTCTAGATATACGACGGTAAGTCGGACACGAACTTTCACGTCGGCTTGTACCTGAACTCGATGGCATTATACACTGAGAACGAGCCGTTGCTCTGTAAGGTGTTTCCCTCGTCCTTTGGGGAAATTGCATCGGACTAGTTTTACAAGTTGCAGAAAGGAACTGTGAAAACCTGGGAAGACCTGGCCGAGATGTTCGTGGCCAGGTTTGTGACAGACAAACTACAACCATTAAGGGTGGACTCCTTGATGGCCTTGAGAATCAGTGAGGATGAAAGCCTTAGGGCTTATGCCAAGAGGTATTACAAGGTGTTCAACCGAATAACAGGATGCAACCAAGAGGTGGCGGTCGTGTCCTTTAAGAACGG